AAAAAATCGTGATTCTCATTTTATGCAAAATCGTGCAGCCCTACTTACAATATAAAGCGCCTTGAGGCGACTGATGTTGTGATTATATAAATAACATTGAATTAAATCTACAGCACAGCCAGCATGATCATGGATTTGTAATCTGTTCTGTCACGGCTCAGTGTTCAGGCTGCTGTTCATCTTTTGTCTAACCACAGTCCAGTAGCAGCTACGTTAATCATAAAATATGGCTAATGTGGCTAATAGTTAAATGGTCAATGTGCCAGACTCAGCGAAGCGGCGTCGTGCTGCTACCATCAATAATAACGAATCGTGTAACGACCTTTTCAGTTCTTGAGCACAGATGTCATTCTCCTCCTCCCAGGCACTGGATGGCCAGAACATCTACAATTCCTGCTGCACGCTCCGTATCGACTTCTCCAAGCTGGTCAACCTGAACGTGAAGTACAACAACGATAAGAGTCGCGACTACACCCGACCCGAGCTGCCAGCTGGTGACGGCCAGCCCAGTTTTGACCCCACAGTTGCCGTAGCTTTCAGCAAAGACTCCAGTTCTCTCCTCGGTAAGATCCCAGGTACATCCCACTTTTATCTTTCCTCTTTGAACTTGACGTTGTTTGTTCTCACTCTGCGTTCTAAATTAGGTTGGTGTGATGGGAATTCACACGTGCATCGTCAAAGGAGATGTTTTCATCAAACTTACATTTGTAAATATTACTTTTCCCTCCTTTTTTAAAAAAATGGTAAATTAATAATAAACTAAGTTCAGATTGATAACCACATGAACTAATTAAACTAACTTTCTCTTTTACACATAATTAACATAATCTGGTCCTTAGCAGCAGGCTAATGAGCTCAATACAGTCTAGATCAGTGGTCAAAGGACCAGCTCTTATCAGTGCTTTTCTGCTATGAATGCTTTATAGACTGATGAACGACAGTACATGTCATTTATTTAACATAAAATATACGTAGAAGCAGGCCTGTCAACAACTAAGCACACCCTACTGCTTCCATAGGAATTAAGTGGTGAAGTAGCAGCTAGGTACTGTAATACACTTGGATGCACTTGATCATAAGATCACCTCTTTAACAGTAAGCTGTTTGTTTGTTTTTCCTTTGCTGGTCAGTAGGATTCAGGTTGTTTGAATACAGTGGCCAGAAGAAAAGATATCAGGAAGGATCTTAAAGTGCCAGTTGTTCCTGCTGCAGATAACTACATCCTTTCAAAAGTGGATTCAAGCACCTGAAATATTTGTCTCTCCTGAACCATTGATTTGAAAAACCCTATTAGCCACTTACATTTTTAAATTGCTCACTCACTTCCCAGTCATACTCTGGAATTAGTCCCAGTATGTTTCACAAGATTAAATGAACATGGTTGACACTGAGGTGTCCCTCTTCTCATACTGACTGTCATTTTCTCTGTGGAGGTTGAGCAGAGCAAGGGTGCATCTAATACACAAAATAAAAGCTCCTCTGTTTAACCCTTTAAAACCGGTCAGAGCAGCA